CCCCCCCCCCCCCCCCTTCCCCCCCCCTTCCCCCCCCCCCCCCCCCCCCCCCGCCCCTCCCCTTCTAGCCCTACGTCCAAAACCCCCATCACCGCGCATCATCGGCGCACTCCTGCTGCTGGCCTAAGCAAACTCGAAGAAATCGGTTCGCAAGTCGTCTATTGGGCCCGGTCGAGGTGAGCCGAGCTTTAGTAGTCGCCCGAGTAATACGAGCATTGATGGGATCAAAACGAACAGAAGCGCGCATCGGGATAGCGAATGAGTCCATGCATTTTGCACAGTTCCAGTCTGCGGACTTTTATTTTCTAAGGATTTTCAGTCTTTTACACTTTGGTCCACGCAAAAATAGTTGATATGTTGTCTGGTTCCTAAGCTGCGAGACCGGCACGTGAAACATAATCGTTTATGAAAACTGACTTCCAAGTCGTGGACAGTGAACATTCTTTCAAAACTTCATCCTCCTAGTTTTCTGGTTCCCGAGTGACTCTCGCGCAAAAAATTTTACATGGCGGTACATGAGACTTTGGCATTCCGGAAAGCTAAATTGAAGTTAAGAGGCCCCTGCGTAGGCGGAAAACATCCTTTTGAATTTGCATCTCATAGCTCTTCTGGTTCCCGACATGATTCCTCCCGCTGATACTTCCACGGGGCCGTGTGTCCCAAGCGTACGTGAAGCCGAATCTGGATTTGCGGGGTTGTATGTGGGCAGGGGGCATTATCCTAAGATGTCAGCTCCCCAGCTCTTGTTGTTCCCGAGACAATTTTTCCCGCCAAAACTTTTACGAAGCTGTTGGTGGTGCCCAGAGGTAGAGGACGCTGGGATTAAGTTCATCGGATCACACATGGGCGAGGAAAATTTCCCTAAAATTTCAGCTTCCTAGCTTTTGTGATTCCTGAGTTGAAAGTTGCGGACAAAACACACTCGGACACACACACACACACACACACATACATGCACGCAGGCCTTTGGCAATATGCGTTTTATGCAGCTGCTGCACACCACAAACGCACAGAAACAGCAGTGACTAAACTGATCAAAATAATGTCGAAGTCATATCCCAAATGGTAGCAAATTCACCGCGAGTTGATTTTCTTAAACATTTTTGGTTAAACAGAAAATCATCAAAAAACATTTTTAACGCTAGGCTAGAACGCACTAGGCTTGCTGGTGTGATCGTGCTTTTTTACACTAAACTGAAGCAGTCATTTCGAAATTAGTCTGTGAATGGCTGCTGCTTTACACCTACCTTGTGCTCTCTCTAGCGTAAGTCGTCGTAGGTTTTACATTAAAAAATGAACAGTTTCCGCCGAACGATCGTCCTGTAAAATTGGCTTAGCTATTCAGTGCGCAGTTTTCCCGCCAAAACTTTCAATTGTTCATATACTGGGAGCTGAATTTGAAATCTTTAAGTTCTGCTTGGACAGGAGACATTCCCTTAAAATTTCAGCCGGTCAACTTCTCTGGTGCCCGAGTTAACAATTTCTCACCAAAACTTTTACTTGCTTGTACGCGAAGTTTAGTCCGTGTAGAGGTTGGTACCACGGTCCTGGGATAGCACCGGGATGGGGAACCCAGTGGCAAAATTCTTGCGCCTCGGTTGTCAGAATGTGTTTTTTACATTTGCACCCATGCAAAAACGCATAATAACCCGGTAATGAAGGGGATGAGAAAAATTTGTCAGAGAAATGTTTAAGGCAGTGTGTAATACGTACAAATGATAATAAATCCACCGGCAGTTAACTTCCTTGAGGATCATAATTACCGAGAAATTACCGTAAGAAATTTTCATTGATCCGAATAATGTAAAACTGCTTCCAGCTAGTGGATCTAATTCCCGCACTTGCACTGATCACATGTTTCTGGGAAGCCGTTTGAATGATTGTCCTCTTTAATGCTGATGGGCAGTTGTCTCGTACAATTGCCTTCGCTCATGCTGTTCTGGAACAAACCGGCCTGATGACAACCTTACGTTAGAATACTGCTGACGTATCGCCAGCTCTTCATCCGTCAACAGTCTGCTTCGTACCCTAACAGTGACGTAAATTAGTGTTTTCAAAATCATGTGATCAACGGGCTGAGGCTTACGATATGGCAGTCGAAGGCCATTGGCGTTAATATGCAGTACAATGTACTTTTCTCAGCTCTTCAACTTATTAGTCGGGTCTTATGTATGCAGCATGTTGTATCGCCTTCTCAAGTAAACTGATTTTCCAACCCTTATTCTTTCGTGCCCTAAACTCCTATAGCATTTTCTTCATACTGCTGGAGTTGTTTGCGAAATGAATTATGTGATCCACGAAGAGTAAGTGGTTTAGTTCGCCATTTTTGCTCAAAATATCTCTGCAACTGCTAGCTGGGTTGAGAAAAATTCAGCGGTGAAGTGTTATCGTGCTCTGTGCGCTCTTTTCAGCTGGCATTCGGACTAGAGCAGCGAACAATGTTGTGTTATATGAACACCCCTTAACTGATTTTGGAAAAAGTCAAAAATGTTTGGAAGAAAAACTATTAGC